CTACCTTGTGCGCATAATGTTGTTTCTCTTCTGTGATGCCCGTTTACCAGCCAATTACAGACTGAAACATCTACGAACTATAAGCCAAATACATCTTTCCCTGTTTAACATTGGGTACTGGGTATTTTGTCTTAGCAAAGAGAGAAAAGTAACTAACACAGTAACATTTTGCAAAGGTATAGTATAGTAGGATATTGACATTCATACTGGGGTGTAAGAAATATAGATATTTGGTCTACATCCCTGATTCCTGACAGAAAGCTTCTGAAACCCTTGGAATTTCTGATAGGAATGTTTTTTGTTATCTGTAAGTCCCTTTTGACCATAAAAGGAGTAAAAAATGTACCAATAAATATTTTGCTTCAAAAAAAATAATGGTATGGTGAATAATGGATTCGTAGACAACTTCAGAATGGGGCTCGCAACCAATGAAATAAATATGAGTAGAGGGTTAGAACTTTCAGCCCCATCCTCTGACTTCTGAGGCAGGAGAAAAGCTGGAGATTGAAATTGAGTTCAATTACCAATGGTCAATGATTTACTCAATTATGCCTATGTAGCAGAACCTACATTAAACCTCCTGAGTAATCAGGCTCAGAGAAATGGTGAGCACATCCGAGTGCCAGGAAAGTGATACACCCCAGCTCCACAGAAAACTGAAGTCCCATGTCCTGTGTATCTCGTTTGACTGTCTATATCCCTTATAATAAGCATAGCATCTTCCTGAATTTTACTATTGTTCTTGCAAATACTAAGACTGGAAGAGTGAGTTGTAGAAAAGTCAGAGAGAAACATGGATAATGTGGCGACTCAACACTTGGAAGTAGCATCTAAAATAAAGGCAGTCTTAGGGGACCGAGCTCTTAAATACATAGAATATGACACTAACAACAAGGTAGTCAGAAGTGAATTGCTGGATATCCAGTTGATGTTTGAGAGTCAGAAAATTGAATAATTAAGTACAAGAAAAAACACCTCAGATACAATCCCACAGATTTTTATTCAGATATCCCTAGTTTTACCTGTGTGTGTGTGTGTGTGTGTGTGTATGTGTGTGTGTGCGTGCACGCGGCGCGTGTGCATGTTATTTCACTATATATGTAAATTCAACTGTCTGCCACCATAGCTAAGCCACAACACTGGCTGGGCATGGTGCTTTGTGTCTATAATCCTAGGACTCGAGACTAAAGCAGGAGGATAGCAAGTTCAATCCCACGGTGGGCAATTTAATGAGACCTTGCCTCAAAACTAAAAAATAAAAAAGGGCTCAGGATGTAGCTCAGTGTGAAGGCACTGGATTTAATTCCCAGCACTACCAAAAAAAAAAAATTACAAAACAGGTCTTCATCACAAGGATCCTTGCCCTTAACACCTCCTTTGAAATAACACACATGAGCACAGACACACACACCCTTTTTAATAATCTGTCAACGACTAATCTTTTATCTATTTACATAATTTTATCATTTCAAGAAAGTTACATAAAAATGATATGCAAATCCCAGATCTGATGGAGCTAGTTTATAACTCAAGAATAAAAAAACGTTGCCAGGGATTTAGCTCAGTGGTTCCAGTGTTGGCCTCAGAAGTGCAAGGGCCCAAGTTCATTCCCTGGTACCAAAAAAGAATAAAAAACAACACTGGGTGTTGTGGCACACACCTATAATTCCAGCATTTGGGAGACTGAGGCAGGAGAATCACCATGAGTTTGAGGCCAGCCTGGACTAAATAGTGAGATCAAGGCTAGCATGGACTAATAATAGGGAGACCTTGTCTCAAAAATACTGAATAAATAAATAAATAAAATAAACAAAAGAAATAAAACACCCAATTTTTAAAGGGGGAAAAGATTTGAACAGACTTTTTTCCAAAGAACATATATAATTGCCAATAAACGCATGAAAAAGGCCCAGCATTACTAGGCATTAGGGAAATGTAAACCAAAACCACAAGGAGATGCCACTGGAACTCAGTAGGATGGCTATACTGAGAAAGACAGAAAAAGTTAGTGTGGCCAAGACATAAAGAAAGTAGAACCATCATACATTGCTCATGAGAATGTGAAATGCAAAGTCAGTTTGGCAGTCCTTCAAAAGGTTAATCATATGACTGCAATTTCACTCTTAGGTATACGCCCAAGAGAAATGAAGCATACATCCACACAGAAACATGTATATAAATGTTCATAACATCATTATTCATAATACCAAAAAAAGTAGAAACAACCCCAATATCCATCAATTGATGGAACTGCAATAGACGATTTGGAATGACAGTAAAAAGAGAAGCACAAACTACAGAACAGACAAACCTTGAAAAAAATTAGGCTAAGTGAAAGATGACAGTCACAAAACACCACATACAATACTATATGATTTCCATTTATAGTAAATAAACAGAAAAGGCAAACATCTAGAGATAAAGTAAACTGGTGGCCCGTATACTTTTGGTTGCCAACAGCTGGAGAGTAGAATTTGGAGTGCTTGCTTGTGGGTATAGGGTTTCTTTCTAGGGAGATAAAAATGCTCTGGAGTTAGACTGTGGTGATGGTTACAAAACACTGTGAATACACCCCAAACCATGAAACAGGGTATCTTTTTTTTCTTTCTTTCATTTTGCCTTTGTTAAGATTAAACCTAAGGCTTTGAGAATGCTAGACAAGTACTCTGCCACTGAGCTACACTCTCAGTCCTGAAAGGAGTTATTTTTCAATATATTGACTAGCCAGGAGTGGTGGCACACATCTGTAGTCCTAGCACTTGGGAAGCTGCGGCAAGAGAATCGCTGTGAGTTCAAAGCCAACTTGGGTTACATAGTGTACATAGTAAGTTCAAGGCCAGCCTGAACTACATAGTGAGACCCTGTGTCCAAAACAAACAAACAAAAAACCCAAAGGTTTTTTTGACCAAAGCTTTGTTCTTCTGCAAGTTGTCTTTTCATATCTTTGGTCCCTTTTCCTTTTACTTCCTTTTTTCGTCCCAGTACTATGAATTGAACCCAGGGTCTTCACAATGATCTATATCCTCACCCCACTTCATCTCCACCCCCTTTTGAGACAGAATCTTGCTAAGTTTCCCAGACTGGGTTCTAACTCATAATCTTTCTGGTTTGGCTTCCCTGAGTGCTGGGATTTCTCCATCACACCAAACTTCTTCCTTTTGCTAGCACTGTATCATATGGACTGTAAATTCTTCTTCCCAATTTAACTTTGCTTACAATTATTTTTAAATGTTCCTGACTTTTACGCAGTAAAATACTCTCCTAGTACTTTTTCTTCCCCCAATACTGGGGACTGAACCCAGGGCATTTAAATGTAATTACATCCACAATCCTTTTTAAAATTTTGTGATAGGGTCTCACTAAATTGCCTAGGTGGGACTTAAACTTTCATCCTCTTGCCTTAGACTTGCAGGGTGTTGGGATGTCAGGTGTATGCCACCATGCCTGATTTCTTCTAGTCCTCTTAGGTTACATTTTATAATAAAATCTTTAATGGGCCAGAGGTTTAGCTCAGTGGCACCAGTGCCTTGCCTTGAAAGCACAAGGTCCTGAGTTCAACCCCAAGTTCCACAAAAATAAAATAAAATATTTAATCTTTAATAAATCCGAAACTAGATGTGATATAGCATATATCTAAAATCCCAGCACTCTGGAGGCTGAGGCAGGAGGACCACCACAAGTTTGAGGCCAACCTGGGCTATATAATGAGTTCAAGGCCAGTCTGAACTACAAAGTAAGATCTAACCTCAAAAAACAAAAACAAGGGGCCAGGGATGTAGCTCAGTGGTGCTCTGCCTGCCTGGCAAGCATAAGGTCTTGAGTTCAATTCTGAGTACCAGGGTAAAAAAAAAAAGTTATAAAAAAAAAAAAAAACAAAAACAAACAAATAGAAATTTTTAACCCATAGGGCTTAGGTTCTACTCTTAGATGTTCCAATGCTCAGCTAAATCACCTTGGACACTAGTCTGTGGAACCCTTCTTTTCTACTTAACACAATTATTCTGAGAAATAAGATTACAGATATGAGAAGGATTCTCAAAAAATATTCTACAGATGCTTGTCTATTTACAAAGAAAATGTAAAGCATGGTATGTATAATACTTGTATTAGGAGCTAGGCATAATGGCATGCATCACAGCTACTTAGCTGACTGAGGCAGTAGGAATGTATAAGCCAAGGAATTTAAAGCCAGCTGGAAAATACAGAAACACCTCAACTCTTAAAAAAAAACATAATCAGACTGGGAATTTAGCTCAGTGGTTCCACTGCTGCTTAGCAAGTGAAAGGTCCTGAGTTAGATCCCCGGTACCAAAAAAAAAAAGAATCTACAGGAAAAAAAATGACATGAAAATAGAGCTATTAGATAATATGACGAGAATCAAGGAGAGAAGGAAGGAGTATAGGGAGAATAGTGAAGGGGTGGATATGATAAAAAAATTTTATATACATGTATGGAAATCAAACAATGAAACACAGCATTTCACAAAATTAATATTCACTAATGAAAATACATATTGGAACATTTACATATACATATACACATACTGTTTGTAATCCATGTGCCATACTAATAAGCTTGCAATGTCAGCCTCAGGGAAGAAGCTTGCCATCTCCAAATTCCTGTCTAAAGAAGTGAAGTGATTTGCATAAGGTCATAGGTGACATCTAGGGAGGAGCTGGTTCCAGAAGTAAATCCAATTAGATATCTATACGAGACCCCTCCCCCAGTTAGAGGGCACCATTCTTCTGAGTTAAGACCTGCTAACTGGTCACAGTGGTTCAGCATGTGCACATGTACACATGTACACACACACCCACACCCACATACACATAACCTGATAAAAACATTCATATTTTAATATATGCATTCATATCTATACAAAAAACAAAATAAAACAAAAATATGATCTATAAATGCAGAGCCTAAAATTAGGACATGATAGGGGTTAGAGCAGAGAGAATGAAATGGGAAGGTTGAATTTCAAGTTATAGGCTCCCACCTTGCTTTCGACAGCCTGGGATTTTGATAAAGGCTCCATAGTCGGTCACCATAGCAACCTATAGATTAAAAAAAAAAAAATCAATGTCACAAAAACGAAAATTTTTCTTCCAGAGCATTTAACCTAGCTTTCTTGAATTTCTACTTGGTACAGATTTCTTTCTGTCTGCCTAGAAGTGATGTTCTGACAAATAGTGCTTTCTGTTCTTTTTGAAATTTAGACTGACAGGTAAATGTGTATACATTAAAAACACTGGTACGAGTGGAGTGCTGTCACATGGATAATTGTAACCAAGAAATGCCCAAATCCTACACCACCATAGCCAGGTGTCCCCAAGTCTTTTGCAGAGTTGACTGAATATGGAGAAGTTAGAGGCTTCCAATAAATGTTAGTGATAAAAGGCCCAGAACTCCTATCAGGTAAATTATCATCCCAGGCTCCCTCCCTGCAATTTTCAAATAACTCTCAACAACTATGGATTAGAATTGATGTCACTACATATTGTATTTATCACTAAATTCATTATAATTTGTAAAATATCTGTTACAATCTTATACACAAAAACTTCATTCTTTTCAGTTCCTTTAGTTGTGTTAAGCAGTTTCAGCTCCACCAAAAAAACAAGGGGCCTGAATAAAAGAATTCATGCTGTAGTGATATTCACTAACATATATTGAATATTCAAAACACTACTCAAACACTGTATGTATGTATGTATGTATTTATGTGTTTTGTTGTATGTAAAACACTATTCAAAATTCTCATGACAGTGTGTGAAACTGGTCCTATAACATGCATTCAACACATGACAAAGGGATGCATGGAGAGATTAAGTAACTCATCCAATGACCAAAGTTAGTAAGTATCAAGAGCTGGGATTTGAACCGAGTCTTAGCTACTCTAGAGCTGCTTCTGGGTTCCTTTTAATGATAAAATTCTAACAGTCCTGAAGTAGTGCCAATGTCAATTCGGTACCCTATTTGCCCCTGGCAACAATCCTTGGACATATAAACGGTAGGTCCCTATACTGTAGATAAGGCAGAATAGTCTAGGTGGAGAAAGAATACAGGCTTAAAGGGTAAAAGATATAGTTTCTTTCTTTCCTCTTTTTGGGGTACCACGGATCAAACTCAGGACTTTGTGCTTGTGAGGTAGGTGGCAGCATCACTGAGCTAAATCCCCAGCCCAAAATGTAGTCTCTAATCCCAGCTCTATCTGTGAGATATTGAACACACTTGGTCTTCCAGGGCCCAAGTTCCCATTTGTTCTCACTTTGCTGATACAGATAACAAATGACACACATGTCTTGCACTTATATTTGGCACATAATGGCCATTCAATAAAGTGTAGCTTCTAATAATTGACAATCCAAGACCCTGAAGCATAAAAAAGATTAATGATTGGCAGAAGGTATGCAATTTAGATACACTGTAGGGACAGAACCTGGGTATCTTTATTCCTACTTCAGTACCTCTTGCTTTACCAAATTACATTATTCATTTCAGTATTGGATGGAAATAAATAAAAGCTTTCATTTGCCTTATTTTTAGTGGGAGATATTCAGACAAGAGCAGCTGAACTAACTCTTCAAGACACAGCATAAAAATGAGTTATTAATCAAGGATTCTAAACTGTTTTACACTGATGAACAAGTATGCTGGACTAGGGACCAGCTGATCCCAAAGAAACAGTTTAAATCAAGGTAGAGCTGCAGGGAGGATTTTAAGAAGGACTTTAGATATTAGCTGGTCCAATTCTGTCACTTTTCAAATGAAGAAAGTAAAGACCAGAGATACAAAGTGCTTATCTAAGTTCACAAAGCAATTTATTCTATGTGTAAAGGGCCCGTGGATGAAGGTAAGGCTTTTAATTTTTAATTACAATAAGAATAAATCCCTACTTCTGGATCAACTACAGGTACTCAGACTGGGTACCACTTGTTCCAAAATTCTAGAAAAAGGGCTAAGAAATCTCATATTGTACAACAACATTGTTAAGAAACATAATTATCTAACAAACCTAACAGTACCATCTGGAAGTTAGAGTGCAAATCACCTTGCTGCTACAAATTAAGACAATCTCACTTTTCCATCCTGAAGCTCCAATGTCACATTATGGTCTTTAGAGGTAATAACAGACTAATTTGGCTTCTCCCAAAAGGAAAGGTTAATGTGCTCCAGAATAGAGGCACTCAAGTTAGGAAGAGGCATTCTTGTCTATATTTCAGCACCAGATGCTTCTATCACTGTGTCTCCTAGGGTGTAGTCAGAGTTGAAATTAACAGGATGGCACCTGCCATAGATGATCACACAGTCTGCCTGGTGTCCCAAGAATAATTACTCAAATGGCTCAGGGGGAAACATTCAGTAATTATCTCAACTGAATTCAGGCCTTGGGTAAAATGAATTTCCCATCTTCAGATTAAAGGTGGTACTGGCCTTGAAACTTGTTCTCATAATGTAAATGATGAATTTGAAGCTCAGCAATGTAAGTTAATTCTCCATAGTTACAAAGTTAGAAAGTAGCACAGCCGGGTATAGAGCAGAAATTTTCTGAGTTCTAGTCCAATGCTATCTCTGCCTTACCAACACCATCTCCCCTCAGCAGGTCTTTGGCAAAGACAAGGCTGAGCAGAATCCCAACACTCATTGCTATGTTTTCACTCCTTTATCATGTTTAACAGACACTGCCACCAAGACAGCAAGATGAATACCGGATTCTTGGCTATGCAATCACAGCGTCCCCACCACTGCTGAGCCTGATAAAAGAAGAGCTGCTAGGCTATGAGCTGTACTATCAGTTTCTTCAAGGACAACCAGCCATACAAGGGTTGGGCACTATTTTATCGCAGCATTTACAAAGCACTTACTATACACAAGACACCATGTTAGGTACTGTGATATTTTTTAAAAACTTAAAAAAGAAATGCCCAAGCCAGCCATGGTGGCACACGTCTGTAATTCTAGAACTCCAGGAGGCTGAGGCAGAATGACTGCAAATTAGACCCTGGTAATCTAGTGAGACTGCCTCAAAAACAAAACAAAACAAAACAAAAAACTTAAAAAGCACTGGAGTTGTAGCTCAATGAAAAGGCCTTGGCTTTGACTGGCAGTACTGGAAACAAAACCAAAAAATTACATGATAGATCGTGATAAACTGGGAACAGTGATAACATGCCTATAATCCCAGCTACTTGAGAGGCTGAGGCAGGGGGACTGAAAGTTCACGGCCAGCCTGAGCAAGATCCTGTCTCAAAATAAAATTTTTGAAAAGCCACCCTGGGGTGAGGCTCAAAAGTAATGCAATTGCCAAGTATGGGCAAGCTTCTGGCTTCAAGCAATAGTATCATAAGGAGGGGGGTAAAAAGACTGTGATAAACACTATAACTATGACTGGAATAACCAGACTTACCATCATCTTCCTTCTATTCCTCAATTTGGTGAAAATAATTCTTTTATGTCTTTTGGTTGCACCATACATTTATGTAAAGTTGGGCTATCCCAGTTATAGTTTAGCACAAAATAGACCTGGAAAGATTTAGAATCCCAGCTTCCCCATTTATTGTTCAATGGGAGATTACTTAACTTCCAAGTAGTTTCTTTATCCATTAAAAGAGTTAATTTTTTGAAAAGATTTAATAACAGAAATGAGCTAACAGACATCAAGTTTTCAATTTTAATGTATCTGATCTTCCTTGTAAATATCAGGCTTTCATTAAATGTTCACTGGATGAATATTCGGAGAGTGTTTCTTCTGCCTCATGAAATTTCTTTCTTTCTTTTTTTTTTTTTTTTTTGGTACCACGGATTGAACTCAGGACCTTGCACTTATGAGGCAGGCAGCAGCACCACTGAGCTAAATCCCAGCCCCCTAAAAAAAAAATTTTTTTTTTTTTTGGTACCAAGGATCAAATTTGGGTCCTTGCACTTGCAAGGCAGGTGGCAGAACTACTGAGCTAAATCCCTGGCCCCTCCCTGAAATTTTTTTCTAATTCCAACTCAATTCTACAGACAGCATCTTTTTAAAAACATGCTCCTAAAACAGTAAGTTCTATAAAGTTCTTGATAAACATAGTTAAAAAATAATGTTGAATTTATTTTTTAATTCAGGGAATTTAAAGTTAAAAAAAACACCTTTAGGCCAGGGACTTAGTTTAGTGTTGCTGTGCCTGCCTCGAAAGTCCTGAGTTCAATCCCTAGTACCAAAAAATAACAAAACAAAACTTTAAAATGAAAGGTAGGGGCCAGGGATTTAGCTCAGTGGTTCCGGCGCCTGCCTCACAAGGACCTAAGTTCAATTCCAGTACCAAAAAAAAAAAAAGAAAGAAAGAACGAATGAAAGGGGGCCAAGTGTGGTGGGATATGTCTGTAATCCCAGCCTTCAGGAGGCTGAGGCAGTAGGATCACCGCGAGTTCAAGGCCAGCGTGGGCTACATATTGAGTTCAAGGCTGGCCTGAACCACATAGCCAGACCCTTTTTTCAAACAACAAAAAAAAGCCAAAAATAAAAACTAAAGAGGGGGAACTACACACAATGTGCTCTCTGAATATTTTCCCAGGCCATCTTTCCTTGACAGCAATATATAACCCACCCCCACACCACCAACAACAACCTACATTAATTCAAGCCCCTTCTCATACAAAATAATTTGCAGGTCTACAGCCACTTTACTAAAAATCTGAACCTGTTTGTTTAGGGCAGAGTACTTTTCCCTTTTTGCAGCAACTGAATAGTAAGCACTTCTTGATCAGAAAAATCAATTTTACCTCCAGTGTTATCACTTCTTTTTCTGGTGCCTAACTAACCTTTGGAGATACCGGAGGCCATAAAGAAAAAAGACTTTAAAGAGTAGAGTTGTTTGCTACTTACTAGAATGTTATTATCCTTTGTAGCTTAACTGTTACATTACCAGTTAGACTCAAGAAAGATCAATTACCAGAAGTCAAAAGCTACAATTATCTATAGCTGACTGACAGTTACAGTGAGTATCCTGAAAGACCTGACATTATTAGAGATAAAAATTTTCTTGACCACAAAACAAATATAAATGCCTGTGGCTCAGGCAGGAAGATCGAAACTTTCAGCCTAGCCCAAGCAACTTAGCAAGAAACTGCCTCAACATTTTAAAGGGGTGGGGGTGGGTGGTGGGAATGTAGCTCAGTTACAGGGCCTTGAGTTCAGTGATGGTAAAACTTTTAGAGCTTTAAATGATACAAAAAGCCTGCTGTAGCACATATGCTGTAAGTTTGCTACCACTGCCCTGAGTGCAATCACCAGTACTGAAAGGGGGTGGGGTGCAGAAAAATATTTTGGTTGAAATATTACAGCTACTCATAAGACAATGAAAACCATTCAGGGGTTTTACTTTGACTTCAAGAAGACATGGATAATGAATTCTTTTGTCATTTTTATAGACAATATCTTACATAACAGTAATCACAGTAATCCTCTGAAGTAATTATCCGCATTTAACAAATGACAAAACTGAGGCTCAAAGACATTTAAGTGACAGTCTCAAGGACTATGAGCTGGTTCCAAAGCCTGTGCTCCCTAAATAAACACAATGCCTTTCCCACCAAAGGCATTCACTCAGTTATCAAGAAAGGCATCAAGTTGGGAATGTACCTCAACCACAGAGTGACTGCCCAGCATGTGCGAGGCCCGAGGTTTGATCAAAACAACTCTGTCCTCAGGGAGCTTAGTGCCTTGTGGGGAAGACAGACATTAAATAAGTACACAGCTAAAAATTCACCCATGAAAAGATCTCTGAAAGACATTACAGCTGAGACTTAAAAAATGAGAAGTTGGTGGGAAAGTGGGTAGTTAGAAGAAGAAACAGAGTTAGTCTCTTCCTGCTGTATAACAAAATACCATAGATTGGATGTTTTATAATAGAAATTCATTTTTCGTGGTTCTAGAGGCTGGTAAGTTCAAGACCAAGACACCAGCAGATTTAGTACCTGATAACAGCTTATTTTCTGATTCCAGGATGGAACCTTGTAGTTGTATTCTTCCGAGCAGACAAATGCCATGTCCTCCTCACAAAGTGAAAGGGACAGAAGGCTCAGGCAACTCTCTGAAGAGTCTTTTTCCAACACGATCAATCTCATTCTCAAGGGGGTTTGAATGACTGTATTTCCTCAAAATTCACATTTGAAATTTAATCCCTAATGCAAGAGATAGAAGAAGTGGAGCCTTTTGGAGGTGATTAGGCCTAGTGAATTAATTAGTGCCTTTTAAAAGAGTTTGAGGAGGTAAGTTTGCCCCTTCTGCCACATTCTGCCATGCAAGGACACAGCATTTGTCACCTCTGGAAGACCTAGCAACAAGGCAACATTGTGGAGGCAGACAGCAGCCCTCATCAGACATCAAATCTATTGGCATCTTGATCTTGGACTTCCCATCCTTCAGAACTGCGAGAAATAAAATTTTGTTCTTTATAAATTACCTAATCCCAGGTATTTTGTTTCAGTAGCACAAATGGACTAAAGCAAACAGCATTTGCAAAGATCCTGAAGAGAAAGCAATCAGGGTTTAGTGCTATAAGGAAGCCAGAACTAGAGTAAGGGCAGGCTAGAACAACATAACACTGTCCAAGTAGGCAATGGACAAGTAATGGAAGAGGCACAAAAATCGTATTGTTTGCATTTGTAGGTAAAGGGGACAGACAGACAGGGAAATAGTAGAACAAAGACCTCAGTCAGCTTTCTGGCAAATTCTGACTAGAAAGAGTTAAAACCCTTGAGAGAGAGAGAGAGAGAGAGAGAGAGAGAGAGAGAGAGAGAGAGAGAGAGAGAGAGAGAGAGAGAAAGAGAGAGAGAGAGAGCAATTAAAAGGAGAAGATAAGCAGCAGAGCTCTGCCAGTGCCCCAGCTGAAGTTAGTTGCTCCTTCCCATCATGTAGTAAAGTACAAAGGAGACAAAAGAGTGAGGGGGCTACACAACAGCAAACTCACTTTGTATATAAACTACATACTCATACCTGGACACACACGTTTTCTCACTACATTTCAATTTGTTTGTTAATTTGACCTTGTATGTAGAGTCCTTTTAACAAACCCATAAATTTCAAAGACAGGGCCTGACAGGACAAAGAAAATCAAATAAGATCACTTAAAAAAGTGCACATAGATGGTGCATGGAGTTAGGGGTCTTGGGGGCCGGGATCCCTCTATGACAGCCCAAGGAACCAATCCGATTATGACAAATTCCAGGTAGGGGGAAGGGCCCTTGAACCCCAATAAAGGCAACCAGGAACAAAGAGCCCATAAATTCTCTAGCTTTCTGGAGCCCTGTCCTGATTTACCAGGGTAGATATCTATGTGTCTCCTCCTATTCTCTGCTTTCCAATAAAGTGTCCAATAAAATGTCTTCCTTTCCTTAAACTCTCTATCTTTAATGTTTTACAATCCCAATGAGATGCCCTCCTGCACAGAAGCAACATTCATTCCTCCCACCCCCCAACACAACATATTTAAGTAAAATGAGAAGCCTCTGAAAAGCTGTGAGAAAGCAGTGTGCCCAATATGTTTTTGTTTTTTTGTTTTATTTTGTTTGTTTGTTTTGGGTACTGGGGATTGAACTCGGGTCCTTGTGCTTGCGAGGCAGGCGGCGGAACCACTGAGCTAAATCCCCAGTCCCCCAATATGTTTTTAAAATACTATTCTGGGGCTAGGCATTTAGCTAAGCGGCACAGTGTCTGCCTGGCAAGTGTCAGGTCCTGAGTTTGATCCGTCGTAGCAAAAAAAAAAAGTTATTCTGGCTGCAATGTGACAGATTGGAGAGTGGCTATCATTAGAAGCAGGATTGAGCAAGATATGGAGAATTTGATTTAATGGTGTGCCAAGGGGATAAAGAAGCATACAAATTGGAGATACACTTAGGACTTATGGACAAACTAGAAAGCAGGAAAATCAAGACCAAATCAAGAAAGTGAAATCAAGTATAATACCCAGATTTCCAGCTTGGGTACCTGAAAGGATAGTTGTTTTATTTGCTGAAATGGAAAAAAACTAAAAGAGAAACAGTGAAAAAATTTAAAATTCCATTACAAATTAAAGGGCTGGGGATTTAGCTTGGTGGGGCTGTCACCTGCCTTGCAAGTGCAAGGTTCTGAGTTTGATCCCCAGCACACCCCTCCCCCCCAAAATTAGAGATAGTGTGAGGTATTCAAATGAAGATGTCAAGTATGCAGCTGGAGGAAATTATCTTAGAGGAAGTACATGCAGTAGCCATATGCTCCACTAGCCCTTCACACTTAAGCTGTAAGGTTCAAGGAGTCTCAAGTGGAACAACAAACTGTGCTGTTTTTCATCCTTAGTATATTTTTTTGGGGGGTACTGGGGATCGAACTCAGGACCTTCCGCTTGCAAGGCAGGAAGTGGCACCACTAAGCTAAATCCCCCGCCCATCCCTAGTTTATTCTTTTTTGGGGGGGGTACCCGGGATTGAACTTTGGTCTTTACGCTTGCAAGGCAGGCCACCAAACCACTGAGCTAAATCCCTGGCCCTCCCTAATCTATTCTTAACGCACTGTAAATGGGAAGTTTTCAAAGTGCAAAAGAATATACCTCTCCTTGAAAAATAGTGTAGAGATCAGGCAAGTTTTCCATGGTCTCAGGCCTTCCTGAATTCATCCTTATGTTCTATGGCTCCTCCATTTCTCTTCTGGTAAAGCTAATTTTGATGTCCTGTTACAAAGAAGTAAGCAAAAATTAGAGACATCTGAATTAAAGAAGAAATGAATGTGCAAATAGTCCACAGCTATCTCTACAAAATAATTGCTGACTGAACAACATGTACTTTTCTCCAAACCTTTTGTCATTCTACTTCTGGGGAATTTAGGAAACCTTGATTTCTTTTCTATGTGTCACTTACCCAACGCCATTAGACTACTGGTTTGTTGGTTGCTTTGTTTTCATTTGTTTTTTTCCGAGACAGGGTCTCATTATGTAGTTCAGGCTGGCCTTGAACTCTTGACAATCCTCCTGCCTCAGAATTCCAAGTGCTGGGATTACAAACGTGTGTCACTATGCCCAGGTTTGTTTGTTTTTTTTTTTTTTTTTTTTTTTTTTGAGACAGGGTCTCACTACATAGTTGAGACTGACCTGGAACTCACTATGTAGCCCAGGCTGGTCTCGAACTCACAGTGATCCTCCTGCCTCAGCCTCCCCAGTGCTGGGATCACAGGCGTGCGCCACGACACCCAGCTTCAGCTTGTTTTGTTTTGTTTGGGGTAAAAATCTCAGTAAGTTACCCAGGCTGGTCTCAAATTCCTGGACTACTATATGTGCCTGGACTCCTTCAGTGCCCCATTTTGCTGAAGAGGCCAGCTTGTTTAACTTAGCTGGCCTTATTCATACCTATGATTAAATTATCACATATATGCAAATTATCTCCCAAATTATATTTCCAATACTAATCTCTCTTCTGAGCACCAGCAGTATATATTTGAAACTGCTTCCTGGTGTCAACAATCACACACACAATTACAAAGAACAAAAATTAAGTTTCCAGTCATCTTCTAATATTCTCTATCTCAGTGAAGATTACCAACATCTATTCAAGTACATAAGCCAAAAAACTAGGAGCTACCTTTGATTCTGCTCACTTCCTAAATCCAATCCATCACTAATTCTTACCCGTCTTAACTCCTACATGTTTCTAATATCTAATTCTCTGTGCTCTACCACTCAGTTCTTGTTACCATCTCTGACCAGGATTACTGCATATCCTCCTAAGTGATCCATCTACATCCACCAACGCTCCTGTCGTATTTACCTTTCTCTCATTGCTGAGACAAAACACGTGACATCCAAAGTTAAAGGGAGAAAGGTTTATTTAGCTCACAGTTGGTAGAGGTTTCAGTCCATAATCGGCTGGCTCTAATGCAGGGTGTCTCTAATGCAGAGGACAAACAACAGTTCGTGGTGGGCAGAAGGTAGCAAAGTAACAAGGGACCTTAAAGGCATCTTCTTGTCCCGTTTATTTTATCCAGGATACTTCGGGCGGTAGCACTCACACTATTAATCCTAGGGCCCTGGAACCTATTGGTGCATCCTGAGGCAATTCGTCACACACTCCAGCCACCTCTGACAAAACTCTATGACTTCGTGAGGCTTTGACGGAGTACATCTAGACACAAGCCATAACAGCTCCCCTCATCACATATTAAATTTGAGGGATCAAGCTACCTCCCACATCCCACTCCGCAAGGAAAGGAAAACCCTTAATGGCACCCCACAGTTTTAAAGTAAAATCTGACCTCTAAAATTCCTGCAAAAATCTGACCTCTAGAACCTCCAGCTTCATTCTGTACTACACCCTCCCCATTCTCTTTATACCGGCCACACTAGCTCTTTGTGCCTTTGAAGTCGTTTTCCTCCCAAGTGATACGGAACATGCTATTCTGCAGGGAATGCTCTGCCTTCTCCCTTCACCTCGTTAGAATTCTTCCGTCAGGTATCAGAATCCCTGCTTATTTCAGGCACTCATAGCATCAATTACCTCTCCTGGGTAGCAGACCCAGTTATTAGTGAAATCCCTGCTTAATAACTACCCTCCTAAGAGACTCCAATCCCTTAGATTAGAAATTACGTTTGGTTCATAAAGTATCCGCTAACGCTCTGCACAGGAAACATCAGTTGAACGATTGAGGAGGCCCCGTTCACGTGAGTCTCAAATTTTTCAACGAAATTGGAGGAATCGGACATTTCCTGCATCATCGTCTCCCTCAGACATAGATCAGGCGCTTTAAAAGACTGCACTATCAGAAGCTGAAACAAGTCGGCCTCCTCAGCCAAATGGGGCATTGAAGGAGATTGGAAGACAGGCCTTTCTGTCCGGGAACGCCGGGAACTGGGGGGTCAGAGAAGGCGCCTGTAGGAAGCTCTGTTCCTGCCCGCAAAGAGATTGTCCCAGCTGGGAACTCGGAGCTCAGGCCGCACAACCGTGAGATCGCCTCCTACTAGCGGCCGCCCACCCCCGTTCTCCCTCCTACTTACTAGGCGTAGACTCCGACTCACGGAGCCGCAGCATAGCCCAAAAGGCCAAATTCAGTCAGCGCACGGCCGCCCACAAGCCACGGCGCGCCTAGGAGGGACGCCCGCTTCGTTCGCCAATCTTGCAGAGGTTTTCTCATGACGTTAGAACGATAGATCCAATCACAGTGGACCATAAGAGGGCGGGGCAGAGAGGAATTTTGGAAATCAATTGGATTCTCCAAGCCGGAAGTTCTGGAGGAAAGAGTAAGTCGCGGCCAATCGCGAGGCGCCTGGGGCTGTCGGCGCGGTCAGTGGCGGCGCTGAGGAGAGCGTTTACCGCCATGATAGAACAGCAGAAACGCAAGGGCCCCGAATTGCCACTGGTTCCAGTCAAGCGGCAGCGTCATGAGTTGCTGCTGGGAGCGGCCGGGTCAGGCCCCGGGTCAGGGCAGCAGCAGGCAAGCCCCGGAGCTTTGCTGCAAGCGGTAAGTGAAAAAGCAGGCGCCCTTGGCCCTCAGCTCATCTCCCTGTCTCAGCACTGTTGTGGGTGATCGATCCCGCGCTGCGCGGGCGGAATGACAATGTACCTGAAGTTAAAGCGCACAAACGCCACAAAAGTTCCCGGTATGTTGCGGTGCTCCATCTCTGCTTCCCAGTTGAATGTCCGTTTTTAGCCTTTTGACTGTCCTGTGAGATAATGTTAAAACTAGTCTAAAACCTTGGACTCAAAAACCAAGACCTTGGCTTCCGCATCCCAAATCTTCCAGAGATCCAGCGTAAAGTAAACATATATAAGTTTCTAGAGTGGATGAATGAATCAGCAAGGAAAGGAAGAAGTGACCGTGAGCTTGCTTTGGGACTTTGGGCAAGTTGCTTTTTCCTTTGTCTGCATTTGTGTTATTAACAGCAACTGAATAATAAATAACTTAACTGACTTCTGTTTTTTTGTTTGTTTGGTACCGGGGATTGAACTCGGGACCTTGCGCTTGCAGGGCAGGTGTCTAAATCCGTGGGCCTTCATTGACTTTTGTACTAAGTGTTTTGTATATGAAACCTTCGTTGATCTTGATAACACCTAAAATTTAGTAACACTTATTTTCTCATTTTGCAGGTGGGAAAGCAAACTCTTGCCTAGAATGTGATAGTTTTTTCATAAATCTGTGATCCTAAATACATTTCTCGTAAAATAGTGGTAACACCTCTCCTACTATGCTGCTGAACTCAGATGAGGAAAAGTGCTCTCCCTCACTTCCCAGCTAGTCTGTCAGCAAATCCAACTGCATCGTCCTCAGAGTATCTAGATGAGCCAGGTGGCGTGGCACACTACTCAAAAGGCTGAGGCGAGAGGATGGCTTGAGCCCAAAAATTCAAGCCAGCCTGGGTAATATAGTGAGACCCTTAAAAAAAAAAAATCTAGGTAGTAACCAGAATTTCTACCACCTTCGTTGGTACCTCCTAGTCTAAGCCATTTTCCCAGCAAGCAATGTAGTCTAAGATAAGCCATCTAAGTTTGAAAGGCTAATGAGAGTTATAAAGACAGAAAACATTTCTATTCCCAAATAAAAGTGTTTGCATTAATGACAATAATTTTATGTTATTGCCCAGGGGCCTAATTTGGTTTCCTGTTTCTGTCCTATCAAAAATCTGTTATCAATCTAGCACTTGAGAATCCTTCTAAACATCAAATCACATTCTCTGCAACAAACTTCCCAGTGGCTTTCCATTTAGTTCGTAATAAAAATAACTTTTATAATCGTTTCCTCTTTCTCTTTTTTTTCCTCTTTTTTCTTTTTTCTCCATACAAGGGATTGAACTCAGGACCTTGCACTTGCCAGGCAGCTGCGGTGAATCATTTCTTCTCTTTACACCTCTTGATCTGCTAGTTTTCCATTGCTTACCAGGCTCTAGTCACACAGACTTTCACTCTCCTGCCTCAGGGCCTTTGCACTTGCTGCTTCCTCTCCTGGAATGCTCACATGTCTTCATGATTTACATACTCAGTTCCTTCAAGTCTTTGTTCAGGTACTTTTTTTTGTGTGAGGTCTTTCCTTACCACCTTATTTTAAATTGCAACACCCCCATATTCTGGAACTCAGATTCCTAATCTCTTTTTCTCCATGGCACATACTACCATATCCATGTTCTCCCCCTCTCCTCCCGATCCTCCGCTTCTCTCCCCCCTCCCCTTTTTCTCCCTCCCCCCCTCTTCCCCTTCTTCTACAATGCAAGCTTCATTGCTTATTTTGTTCAGTATTGTTTTCCTCAGTGCCTAGAACACTGCCTGTCACATATTTTTTAAATGAATAAATATACTAGAAGCTATTTAAAAAATTGAGGATTCTTGTGTAGTATACTTGTTCTTCCTATTTGGCAAGTAAGAATATCTGCCCAGCTTTAAGTGAATTGCCACGCCTGAGCTTAGTGTCCAAGACCATAATTAAAACTACTTTTCTTAATAATCTGAATCCTGCAGGGTTGTCAGGAAGCCCAGTTCAGTAATTCATTAAATGATTCAGAGACTAGGAAAAAAACTGTTGAATGACACATATAAAGTCCCTACATTTACAGAGCTTCAGTTCTTTGGGAAAAGACAAGATATATAAGCAATTATATGAGGAAGGTATTTTCAGGCAGTGCTCAGTGCTGTGAAGGAATATAATAGAGTTAACAATACAGGTAGGGATGTGACATATTTCTTGGTTTTGCATGATCAAGGAAAGACTTTATAAAGAGGAAATACTTGAGGGCCAGGGATTTAGCTCAGTGATTCCACCACCTGCCTCACAAGTGTAAGGTCCTGAGTTCAATCCCCGGTACCAAAAAAAAGAAAAGCAAAGAAAAAAGAAATACTTGAAAGCCAAATCTAGGAGAAGGGATTCTCATCAGGATTCTCATCACCCATGACAACTTCATGGGTAAAGGTCCTGAGCCAAAATGACTTTTAATGTGTTTGAGTGAATTGGCTGTGGACCAGACCCAAGTGAGAGAAAAGGAGAGTCAGTATAACAAATAGATACTGGAATGTTAGGGTATCAGACTGGAGATAATGTGAACAGAGGTGCCATTCTGTAAATCAGGTGAAATCCCCTGAATGATTGTTTGCCTGATCTTTTCCCTTCATTCCCCAACCCCATTTTGCAGCTGCCTTTGTTTATATACAGTGTCTACCTCATACTTCTCTTTTGTTTAGGGACCTCCAAGGTGTTCCTCCCTTCAAGCCCCAATCATGCTCCTCTCAGGTCATGAAGGAGAAGTGTATTGCTGCAAGTTTCACCCCAATGGCTCCACTTTGGCATCTGCAGGATTTGACCGACTGATATGTAAGACATAGTTGTATTGTTTGTTTTATTGGGTTTTTTTCAGTACTGGAGAAGGAACATAGGAGTGCTGTACCACTGAGCTACATCCCCCTTTTTTTTATTTTGAAGTGTTTTCAGGGCCCAGGGATTTAGCTTAGTGATTCCACCGCTTGCCTCACAAGTGAAAAGTCCTGAGTTCAATCCTCAGTACCAAAAACTAAAAAAGAATTTATATTTTGAAATGGTTTCACAAAGTTCCCCAGGTTGGACTTGAATTTGGCAGTCTTCCTGCCTCAGCCTCTTGATTGCAAGCATGTACTTCCATGCCCAGCTAGACATAGTTTTTAAACCCAGAGTAATTGGCCTCTGCCAAAGACTGATTAGTTTTTTAAAATCTTAGATATTACAAATGACAGCATAAACTACATGGCTAACATGCTAAAATGGCATAAAATGCTGAATCACCACTAGAGTATAAAACTTAGCCTGTAGTCAGATGTGGTGGTGCATACCTGTGATCCCAGCACTCCAAAGGCTAAGGCAAGAGGATTACCATGCCGGGCTCCACAGTAAGTACAAGGCCAGCCTGAACTACATAGCAAGACCCTGTCTCAAAAAAAAACCAAAAACAATAGCAGCAGCAACAATTTGGCATCCATGTGGTAATACAGAAGGAAAGAAAGTGAGTTGCTCTGGTTTGAGGATACATTCATCATGGAGAGAAGTGTAGAGCCAATACAACAAGATAAGCAATCCAAATTTCACAAGTTAATGGGAGTTATGAAGAAAGAAACATTTTATTCCAAAGGCACAGGGCCCTCTTCTTGAGCCACACCCAGAATCCTAGCATGTGAGAAGGAAGAAGGAATTCTCCAAAGTGGCAACTTACCTTGATAATCCACCTTTACATTATTACGATTTGCTACCAGCTTCTTAGCTAGGAGTTTTTATATTTGAAGAACGAGTAGAAAATGGTGACAGGGTGTAGCTCAGGGTAGAGTATTTACCTAACACACACAAGGTTTGATTCCCGACACTTTAAGAAGGTAGGAAAAGGTCCATTTGAAGGAGCCATGAGAAAAAGCAAATAAGAAAATAACAAAGCTCTCTCTTATTTGATTTCTGAGTTCGTTTGCCTGGTTATGAAATCAGATGAGTTCTTTGGCTTTTTATCTGTTAACTCTTTACCTGTCTTTGTTACTTTTCTTATTGCTGAAATAAAATACCCAACACTCAAAGTTAAAGGAGGAAGGGTTTATTGTAGCTCATAGTTGTAGAGGTTTCATTTCATAGTTGGCTGGCTCCAAGGAAGGGTAGCATGGCAGAGGGGCATCACAGAGGAGAAACAGTTTATGGTGGGCAGAGGGCAGCGAAGAAACAAGTAGCTGCAGCTGCCCTCTTTCTGTCTCTTGTATTCTATCCAGGCTACATGCCCTTAGGGCTGGTAGCACTCACACCTAGGGCAGGCCTTCCCATTATTCACATTCAAAATTATGCCAAACCCATCAGTCATTTAGTATCATGCACCCTTGATCCCAGCATCACATATTCTACATCTAGCCACTGCTGAAAAGCCCCACCTATGACTGCATGAGGCTTTAGGGGAGCATCTAGACCCAAACCATAACAGTACCTTAAAATGGATGATAATCTTCACTGCTTATTTCATTTTGGATATTATAGTCCTATGATCACTATAATTTCTAGTGGCCAAGTATCTGGAAGGCTTAGGGATCTTTGCAGGGCATACATGAGTTATTGATATATTTAATTCCATAAAGTTAGAAGCAAATTCTGTTTTAAAAAAAAGGCAAATATG